CAATCTGGGATAATTACAGGACTGCTTCAGGAGATGTGTAATCGCACAAGGACACAAACACACATTTAAATTGCACTCGCAGTGCCTTCAGGGGATCTCTGCCAAATCATCCCACCTCCCCACACACACTTTCTACCTCATCCCAGGGGGGCACATAAGTACACGCTCTCCCTTCGACAGAGGGAACTTCAAGGAGCTCTGAAACTAGCTTTGGCAGCTCTCGCAGCACTTCAAGCAGCACCAGCCCAGCTCCCCCTTAACACATCCACCTGCACCCCATACTCATCTTCCCGCTCTCCATCAGTCCCTGCCCACCGCTGTACTGCCGCTATGCAGCATCCGATGTCTTTACAGCCTCAAAGTCATCTCTGATCTCTATTTCTATCTTTTCCTCCAACAAGGCTCATTTTATCATTGATTTGAGCAACGCCCCAGTTGTCACACCGCATCTACTGTTTGTGTGTGCATTAAAAGGCAGAACAACACACAGTTAGGCCTTGTTTTCCCTCGCCTCACCTCATCTTACCTTACACCATTATAATTTAGATTAGACGTCTCTGTTGATTGTTCAGCAAGTGTGAGCGGCGTTAAATAAACTATTAATTGAGCAAATAACTTGGCTAAGGATGTGACCTAGATCTGAGGTTACGTCCAACTGTCAGCTTATAGATGCTTTACATAGGATTTCCTCATTAGTGTGCCACTGTGAAATGAGTTGTGATGGCAAACGCTGGCAGAAAAAAAAAGAAGATCCAATTTAAATGTTCCTGTGCTCATTTCCCCACATGTTGGAATGCTTCCGGTAGACTGGTTATTACTTATGAATCAAAAACAGTGGGGAGCCGATATAATGAATATGCCAATAGAAGACAGCTTAGAACGGCTTTTGAATTTAGCTCTGTAAGCATATGCTTAAATTGTTGAAATACTTTCTCTGACGGTGGTTTCCTTACAAAAAATACTAAAACATGGGTTTCCTACTTACCGCCTGACAAAAGGTCCACTCCGGCCCACTTGAAAATTGCCGAAAGTTATTCCTATCTGTCAACTAGGGTTGCATTGTCCTAATTGGAGTAGCATCTCCTCTACTGGATACGTTATCATTAATCCCACGTGTTTACATACAGTCTATTCATTATAATACTGTCAAGCTCAGGCTACTATTAATGCAGATATGGAACGTGAGAAAATATTTGTCCAAAGGTGGATACAGAGTTTTGGGTATTCCAGGAAGAAACCTTTTTCTTACAGAGCTATAATATTTGATGCCGCTTTCACTTTTTTTGTGCCTCTATATTTCCATGCTTTAATGTTCAAAAGCTCTTTATTTTTCTCATACTGCCTGCTCTGCAGCACCTCTTTTCCCCCTCTGTCTGAAACCAGAGCCCAGTCTGCTCTGATTGGTTAGTTGGCCGGCTCAGTGGTGATTGGTTAACCGCTTAGAGATGTCCCGCCCCTTAGCCTATCAAGTACAATATGTTGGAGCGCTAGCCAATAGAAGCGCGAGTGTTACATAGTGATGTCACTGCCTGCTTAGTTACTTACTGTTTGAATAGCAACATCTTATGGCCAGAAAGAACAATGGTTTGACTGTTAGAATCAGTTTTCTAGAGATATACAGACCTCTGGGTCCAAATGTCAAAGCCAGTGTGTGATTTCCATAAACTTGCATTATTTATATAATGTTTAACGTTGGCTGACATCGCTTGTTTCAAAAATGTAAAATCGAAAAAAAAGTAGAAGCCAGCTCAACTTTGATTTGTAGTGCATCACATGAAGGTGCACCTAAACACTGCACAGCTATTATCAGGATAAGAATCTGAATACTTAATATTGTCCTGAGGTGAAGTTGGGTTTTGTGACTTTTGCCATATGATAATAATAACATAAAAATATCTATAAAAACCCAATAATTTTAAATATACAATAAAAGATAAATAAATCAGAATAACTATTTATATACACTATTTAAAGTAAGTGCACAATGTACAATATATAACAACAATAACTATTTAAAATATACACTCAGTGGTGAATTAGTAATAATACTAGTATTATTGTAATGTTATAAATATGATAGATATAGTATGTGCTATAAGTTTACATAAGTGTGTGCTGATTTTACGCTGTCAATAATACTCCAAGTCATTTTACTTTAGTGACATCAAATGTGCAAAATCCCAAAATAATGTTTGGCTTTAAACTCTCACAGGCGTAATTTAAGATACTTTTCTTTGGGTGTGCAGTGTGGTTAATTCACGCATCTTTGACATCTATCCTAAGTGATGTAAGAGGGAGTTTGACATGACAGAAGCGTTGGCTTTTCAAATGCGACACATTGATCAGGTTTCTGGGGTATTCCAGTGGCTGCTGTGTTAACTGAGTGTTCGTCGTGCTGCTCACTGATCCAATCACTGGCTGGAATGTTCCCAGATTTCCTGCTAACAGGACATCAGGTGAAAGCACACAGACACTTTGAAAAGTAAAATACCAAAATGGAACTTTGTTTATATGTCTCATCTTAACATGCACACTGTAACCATGTCCGTTTCTTAATTTGATCTTTCTTATTTTATGAATGTGTTAGTTTTAAACAAAAATGGTTAACTGTTGTTTGTGCTGTCTATTTGTTAGTATTTGTGAGTATTTGCGAGCAGCATGCATCTTTACGTACATGCTGATGGACAAGCTGTTTTAATGGTATGTCATTTGACGGTTTTGTGGGCCCTCCACTGAAAATCTTCTTTGCAGATTTGCTCTGGTACCGGGTCTGAGTTAAGGCAACAAAAATCAACTAGGATACAACTATAGATTCATGACTTTTACTTGACAGGAAGGAGATCAAAATCATAATCTGAAATCGGTCAAATGAATGTAGTGGAGTAAAAAGTAAAATACTTCCCTCTAATATGTAGCAGAGTCGCAGTATGAAGTAGCATCAAATGGAAATACTTCAACAACAACTACCTTGAATTTGTACTTTAGTACATCAGGGCCCAGGAGTTCAACACTTTTAATCCCTATCTGATCGGATCAGATTTGGATTTTGGGGAGTTCAAAACCAAAAAACAGGATTAGGATCACTTTGATATCCGATCAGATCAGGAAATCCAATCCAAGCTTTAATCTGGATCAAATCTTCAAAACGGGTAGTTCAAATCGACAACACAGGATTGGGATCAGTTTGATCCCAAACAACTGGATTATCCTGATCCCACCAGAGGGGTGGATTTCCAGTGGATTACCAGAGCAAAATGTACTATACCATTTATTTAAAAATGTGTTTCAATATAAATAAAATGACAACGTTTGTTAACTGAAATAATACACAATTTGTAGCCTTCATGGGAAATCAATTTTATTTTTAATTTTCTGGTCACGTTTGTGGTGGCTTATTTTGTTTTCAAATGTTGATGACGTAAATGTGTATGCTCATAAAAGTATCACAACAAAGATTGTCAATCACAAATGTAATTTAGATTAAAGAAAAAATATCTTCAACAAAAATAAAGTCCATCATCTGTCATCACCTTTCCAAAGTAATTGCGGACAATAGATGTCTCTGCAACGTGGTCTCTTGTCTTCCTTGTATTATTTTTCATGTCCACTAGATGGCGATCGGTAGGATTAAAGCACTGATATTCAGGATCTAGTAATCTTGAAAAGTCGTAATCTGGATCATCAGGGTGATCCTATCCTGCATTGCTTTGAACTACAGGGACAAAATCTGGCCGACTTGTCTGATCCTGGATCACAAAAGATGGGATTTCAAAATCTGATCGGATCTGATTGAGATTACAAGTTTTGAACTCCTGGGCCCAGTTGAGTGAATTATAGTACATGGTTACATTCCACCACTAGTCATTTTGACTTCAGTATTTGAATGTCACTCTTCTGAGATGGAAACCTGCTGTTTTTGTTGATTTCCCATCTGTTGGCCTGGTGGATAATCTGCTTTTGGATTTACCATACTAAAAATGTTAAACTGATGGCAATAGTTTTGAAGAACTCCGATCAAACCTACTGTGTCACACTTCCCTGAAATTGTAATTATTTATGCCTCAGAATTGCATCTATTGTCTGAAAAATGGAATTAAACCTCCCCCACCTTTACCGTCTCCCTTAATTTGAGAACCTTTGCTCTTCCCTTTTTTCCATTTTACAAACACATTCTCTTTCTGTATGTTCTTGGCACTAATGAAGCTCTGAAGCGTGTGGACTCGGCATTAGTGATTGACTTCCCACCTGTGCATTGCTCTCTGTAACTAGCTCAAGGACACTTCCAATTAGCATCCAGGCTTTGGTACGCTAGCTGGGCTCCCTAGGCCTACCAGGGCTTGGAGCATTTGATTGTCAGTAACTTATGAACACACTGACTGCGTGGAGAGAAGCCTCAGTGCATTTCAATTTTCCTCCCTCCTTTTTCTCCCGCTTGTAACTCTCATCTCTCCAATCTTTCGACAAACTGGCAAAGCCTTTAAACAAAGTTAGATCAGTTCCCCCATTCGAACATTATTCATGAATATTAAAACAAGGACGAGAGGAGATATACATACAGCGCATTTCGGAACACAGTCATGCGCCGGTAGTCGTCAACGTGACTATCATAATGATTTATATTCAGATTTGTTATTCCCGGTGCACACCTCGTGTCCTCTAACTCAACTGATAAGGAACTGCTCAGTATCCGTCGGTATAACCTCGCCGTAATGCTCTTATCCCAAACAACATTGATGATTCAATGGCACTTTTTGAACCTGTCTTTCCATTCATTGTCTTTAAGTGTAGGATGAGACAAAGCAGTCAGGTCTTGAAGGGAAACGTCTTTGGAGACACCCTTGCAGTGACATTGATGATGAGTTTGCGAGAGGCAGCTCTTCCGGAACATCTTTTTTCTTTGACTTACAGCAGTTCATTCGTTTTTCAGACGCTGTACCGTAAGCCAAAGTTCAGAAAAGTCAAATAAATAACTCTATGTACCTTGTTTCACCTCGTCACAGGTCGGGGTCGTGCTGCACTACTCGTCTCTGTCGACAATGCTGTGGCTCGGGGTGACTGCCAGGAACCTTTACAAGCAGGTGACCAAGAAACCTCCGCAGAGCCAGGATGGTGACCCGCCCCCGCCCCCTAAACAACCCCTATTGAGGTAATGTCTTCACGACCCCTCTCAACCCTCACTGCCATGACACGGACATAAACTGCTGTGTGCATATGTTTTTGTGCCTGTATTTTTTTATATTTCTTGATGCTAGTTGCGTGTGTCTTGAGAGGCCAAGGACTGGTTCACTGTGCAATTATTTGCTTCCCTATTTCCTTCAGTACATCACCTGGCTTACGGCCCGTCTACACTACAGGCATCGAAAAATGCTTAGCATCAGCCAATCAAATCCCGTTTATGCAAATCCCGCCAGTACAAGCGCTAGCCAATCAAACCGCGTGCAAGCTGGGAGAGCCAGACCGCAGCTCATTTCCTCATATTCCAAACGAGAAATTACGGTAGCAAATCACCCGGTTCTTTACGACCAGAACTATTTACCGGGATACAAACCGGAGGAACCAGGCATGGAGGGAGGTGGCAGAGACAGTGGGTGAAACTGGTAGGTTTTCGTCTGTTTAGGGATTTTATATCCAGTTTACTTCGTTTTAACATTGCTATTGCTTTGTATGTCGGGGGCGGGAGATTCATGTGATTGGTTGTTGGTCGCCTTGGGCGCGAGAAATCGCCAAGCCTCAGACACGCCCAGCTTCAAGATTTTTTGATGCCTGTAGTGTAGACGGGCCGTTAGACTCTGAGATGCAGGTGCCAGATATGATGGGATATGGACTGCATTTATATATATATATATATTCATCATATATCTCCTCCCCCTGGGCAAAATCCTCCGTCACCATGAGGTTAATTTTCACTGCTACGCCGATGACACACAGGTCTACATTTCCTCTAAACCCACCGCTGCCCTCCCCCCAACCTCCCTCACCACCTGCCTTGAGGACATCAGGAGCTGGATGAGCAGGAACCTCCTGAAGCTTAGTATATATATATATATATATATATTTATATTTATATATATATATATATTTATATTTATATATATATTTATATATATATATATATATATATATGCGCTTTTGCAGTCTTTGTGACACCTACAAGTCAACATTCACCCATTCACACACATTAAAGCAGAGGCTGCCATACAACTGGCCAGATAAACTAACATTCACACATCATGGGCCACTGAAAGCAATTTAGGGTTAGGGTTAGGCCATTGGAAGCAATTTGGGGTATCTAAGGACACAAAGACATGTGGGGATCGATACACTGACCTTTCAGTTTGTAGACTACCCCGGAGCCACAGCCGTCCTAAAATCATTCCTGTCCCACCTTGTACTTATGATTCGAAGCATTGAGGAAATAAGGATTCAAATAAAAATAAAAATACTCTATAAGCACACAAAATTCTGAAAATAAATGGCCACTGTGACCAATTATGTTTAAGAATATTTGATATCATTGAATTGTTGATGCATTAAAGGTGGGGTAGGTAAGTTTGAGAAACCGGCTTGAGATACACTTTTTGTTATATTCCATGGAATGCTCTTAACATCCCGATAGCAATGAATATCTTAAGTGCTTTGACAAAAAATCCACATCTGTGGAAGCCGTAGTACTGTAAAAAGCACGGCCAATAATTTTAGCCGGCCCGGCTAAAATAACTGGATGGCCTACCTGCCTGTCAGCCTTCCATCTGTGCACAAACTTATCTCATGCCCTCATTGGTCATGTGTGTGTTGGAGGAGGGGCTCTGTAAGGAAGTGGCAGATTTTTTCCGGCTGTGTATTTTCAAATTCTAGCGCACTCGAGCTGGTTTCTCCAAAATTACCTACCCCACCTTTAATGTAAGAATAGCATTTTGATCACGGTTTTTGCTACCTACTACAGTGGTTAGGGCCTTCTCAAATGATTCACCCTGGGGGGGTGTGAAGCTGACAATTGAGCGGCCCAGACCAAGCAAGGAGGCAGAGGCAGCACGTCCCAAATATAACCCGGTGTGGACATTTATTACAGCATGAACACAATACACACAGCCTCAATCCTGCTGCTGCTGTTCACGTGGGCACAGCCTGCAGCCACCAGCATGTCACACACACTACCAGCCTCTCTAACAGCAAACCCCCAGAGCCTAAATGCCCAACCCAATCAACCCAACAGGACACAGGTGAGGGGGGAGGAGACAATACAGGGCACCAGGTGCACACAATCAACGACAGACATGGGGAAAGGGAACACTTTTCAACAACAAAAAACTAAACAACCCGTAACGGAGGCCGAGATCTATGAGCCCAGAGATCACCTCCGTGACAGGGGGTTACAAAATAATGAATGGGGGGAAGAAAAAAAAAAAATGATGCAATTAAAGATAATTAGCTACACCCTTCTTGCATGTTTTATGAAAATTGGGCCAGTAGTTATTTGATTTGTTATTTTGGGATTTTACATTTTTCCTGTTGACAGCCAAACCAGACAAACTTGTACCTATGTCATCAATCATACGTTAAATAAATATAATTAGTAATTGGTAAAAAAAAACTCACATAGATCAATTTTTGTATGGGGTCACAAGACAAGATCTTTAACAATGCAACTCATTTACAGATTACGGATTCATATATTCATACCGATTAGTTTTGGTTTCTAATAACACATTTTAAAATGGATGTGGGGTTAATTGAAGGTATTGTATTCAGTCATGTTGATGTGTGTGTGTGTTTGTGAATACAGGTGTGTGTATTTGAGCGTTTGCCTGTTGATTTATGCTACTTTCTCTATGTTAATGTATTTTTCTTTGGTGTTTGCCTGCTCATGTTTTCTTTAGATGACAACAAAAGCTTTTCACAGATGAGTTATTGCATGCTTTATCTGTGGGGACATCCACAGCTAGTTTGCATTATTTCAAGCCTGTGGCTTTGTTCACTTTGCAGTAAAAAGCAGTCAGGTCTTCCTATTTGTACCGCTTTGGCTCTCCTTGTGGATTTCCCCCACATTTGCTCATGTTAAGAAACAACATCTTTAATCTGAGTCACTGTCAGCCGTGAGGAAAGAAGTCTGTGCTGTTAAGGGTAATGATTCTCTTAATGTGAAAATGAGTCTGAGAAATGCCAGAGATAAGAGGAGCCAATTGAATTATTTTGAATCGCTTAAACTTATCATATGTGGCATTCTAGCTCCATCTCACCTGTTGAAGGTTAATTTCAGGCTGAAAACGCCTACTATTTTAGGGTTCTCATTAAGTCCAATGAGTGTGGAAATCAAGACATTGACACAGTTAGGTTAGAAGTCTAACTAGCGACAGCTTAAAGTGGACCTATCATGCTATATTTGAAACATATATTGTAGGGCCATAGAGTGGCGAAGTCCCTCCCCTTCCAGGGGACCTCCATGGGACCTTATTTCGGAAAAATTATGTATTGAAGTCAATGGAGAGAGAAAGATTATCTTTTGATCCCGTTTGAATTGTGCCACGAATTACCCATATGATGTTTGTCAATTTAAAAGATAATTTTGCAAGTCAAAAAAAAAAAATGTGTCGTAAAACTGTGAAGTTACACATTTTTGTATGTGAACCGCTTAATGAACTACATCGCTGGTCTCGCAGACTCTCACAACAACACACGTCACCAGTCACTACTGTCTTGTCAAAAAAGTGATTGACTACCCTCACTATCACCACAATGAAACACGTCCAGAAGAATGTCAGCTGCCTGCCTGCCTGCCTTCCTTTGATTCTCTCTGAACTGCCTAATCTTTTTAATGTTTAATGTAAACCATTTGTGCAGATAGCATGAAGTAGAACAGATCGCCGGTGCTAATGTAGCGTTAGCGTTAGCATTTCTCCCCCGGGCTTAAATTGTGTATTATAGAATGATCACACCGGTGTGACAGTACTCTTCAAAGGGTTCACGAAATATGACTACTACTCTTACTGTTTAACATTTTGGGTTACTTGATGTTACTTCATGTTAAGGCTAATACAAATGACAAGGCTAAGACTGTAATGCTAACTAACGTGCTTGCTACTAGCTAGATAGCTAACTTGATCCAGCCAGCCACTCCTGGGGGGTATACTACGAAGCAGGATTTTCGTTTAGCAAGATAACTTCTGGGATTTCCGGTCCTACGAAGCTGGTTCACTTTTTAGCGGGCTAGATAACTTATTCTGAACGGCTAGCCTGCGCCGGAGCAGGATAGGTTCCAGGATAAGAGATCAACTGTGCGGAGTTCTTCTTCTTCTTTGCTTTAATGGCAAATCACTTCCACTTGGAGCATATCGCCACTATACTGTTGATTTATTTAATGTATAAACTGCCCATATTGTTCATGTAGAACAATGTTCACGTAAGCCTGCACATTGATTTTATTTTTTCATTGAATGTAACCGTTTTAATAAGGATACATCTATTCCAGGTTGAGGTAGAAACCATGGTGGAACAGCTGATAACAACAGTGTCCAGAGTTTAAAGCGATCAAGTCATATTACAGGATAAAGGTTCAACTGCCGTTGCAGTTCAAATCACTGACTGTGTGAACGTGAAAATGAATAGAATATCACCTCCCATCTTCAGAGCAATCTGACTATTATAACATTAGCGTGAAGAAAGCTTACTTAAATATCTGCCACAACATAAGTAACCGGATCAAAGTAACATTACGTAGCCTACAGTCCGCGGCACTGTGAGTGCAGACGTCGATGTGTCCCATTATCATTCATATCATATCACATCATAATGTCTCATATATTTCCATATCTGAGTCAGCTTCTTGAGCCGTATCTGGCCGTGCAACACTCACAGTGTCACATACTGTATGCAAGTATGATTTTCCAACACATTAAGTTGAAGAAACACTCAAGTCAAATGTAATTCAAGTCAGATCCACTCGTGTCTTGGACGGGGCAGTGATATCATAAACCTGTTAATGTACGCATTCAAACACTTTTTCTGTTACCAGCTGTATTCACCTTGCAGGTGCAGCTATGTGGCTTTGATCCTGGATAAAGTGTTTAAGCCATGGATGTTTAAAGTTTAACTTCTTCATATTTGACTAATATTATAGTTGACTTTTCATTCAGGAAGTATGACGCTGCG